CAGATAGCTGTTGTACGTAGAGCGTGAAAAAATGGTATTTTCTTATTAGTAACTGTGCTTTTTTGATGTATCTATCTGCAGTCGTGGTCAATAAAATAAAGTTGCGGTGTTATTCCATCATAAATGCAACCGGACTGAGGCAGTTACAATCACCAAGTTTGTAGTGAGCATTTGATCTCTCAGGAATGGTCAGTTAAATCCAATTTTGGGCAAACAAGGCTGCTTCGTAGGCATTGTTTATATGAATGCAAATTTGATTTGATCATAGAGTTTTTCAGAAATATGAGTTTGCTAAAAAAAATAAAAGCCACATTCTTTGATTACTTTTTATTTGGCGAAAAGAAATGTATGAGATTGGTAGTCACTCTAGAAGTAGTGGTTAGTTTAACATGATTGAGATTACCAGTTCACGATTCTCTCTGGTATTATACTGTAATGTCCATATATTTCGCGGCATCGCATCTTCAATTCAAGAAAAAATTTCATTGCTCTGAATAAGTTAGTTGCATGACACTCATTTTTAGAGGTTTCTTCAGGTTTTTAATGTGTGCCAATAGGGCATACAGTGGAGCGACTTATACTCACGGTTCGTGCGCAGTCTCCGGGTAATTGGTTTATCTAGCTTTTGATGTTTTTGATAATCACACAAATTGAAGGCCACTAGTATTAACCTTAGGTTAAAGTAATTTAAATATTCTTTTCTTGGTTTTTTCTTATTTCTTCAGCAGTAGTTTAATGGGGTTTGAGCAGAATAATTTAATTGATTTCCTTGATACAGGAGTAGTGGGAAAATTTCAATACAGCATGGTTGTAATGATGGGCAAGCAGTGACATATACTTCTCCACATAACGCTGGTAGGCTATGGAATAACAAAGGGGACTCAATGCCACATGCTTCTCGTAGAGCACAAACGGTAGGATCCACTTTACCAAGAGAATCTCGAGGACGGCACACGACAGCGGATTTAAAGTAAAGCTTGACGGATAAACAGAAGTCCTAAAATCATTTATGTATTTACTTTATTGGGAGGGCGGGGCAGGAGGGGATATTGAGGTATTTATTTGGATCCTTTTTAGTAGTCTCTTTCTCAGCGTGTTGCTGAGTTGCAATTGCTACTTTTTGTTAGGAAATTTGATTATTTTAGAAGCAATGAGAGAGGCTCGCTCCTCACGTCATCTTAAATATTGTAGCTGAAATGTTTCAGACAGACTGATCAACAAACTTCAACAGCCTGTGGTACCTCCCCAACAAAATTTTTCTATCTTCTCTTAGAAAATGTTAAAGGCAGAGGATCCGATGAACATGGTGTTAGAGTTGGGCAAAAAGCTGATGTAGGAACTTTCGAAGATTTATTTGATATAAAAAACGCTTTATAGTGTGGCCAAAATTTTTGATTAGTAGGTGCTTACATTTTTCATAATCTGTTTTATCCTTTCTAGATATACATTGATTTGTAGCTGAACATATAGAGCTTTAATTTTCACTTTTGATCGGTATCACAATTTCTGGCTAAATTTTTGCTTACTCGCCAAAGATTCTAGCTTATTGTATTTACTTTGCTTCCTTAGTTTCTCATTAGCAAGTTGCTTATTACAATTGTCTGTCTGAAACGACTGGTTTAATGGGGAAAACGCAGGGATAAAATTGACCACTTTGTTTTGCAGCTTTGCAAGGGGGAACTCTTCCAAATCTGTGAAAGGTTTACTGAAAAACAGTTAAAAAGTTGCTGCGGAATTGCCGAGGACGTGAAAGATGGTGTTTATCTGCAGTCCAAAAAAGAAATCTGCGTCGAGGCTCTTGTTCCATCAGAATTTGTACGTATATCTTCTATTTCAGATTCACTTCGTTTTTTAGAGTTTTTAGAGTGCAATTAGCTTTATGAGAATAATGAGGTTTGTATTTCAGGAGATTCTCGTGTTTGTAATGGTAGAAATGAAATATCTGAAGTTTTGAAAAATTTTTCTTTGCAATTTTGATCTTTTATTTTTATCTTCCAGTTCAGTTGTGTGTTACACGAAAATTTCTGAGATGATGTGGTTTTTTATTACTCAAAAGATATTTGATTTATCAGTTGAAATCAATTTCGTTTTATTTTTAGGTTTCTAAGCTAAGTCTCGAACAGGCGGAAATACTGGAAGCTGTTGATTTGAATTCTCGGCTGGACTTTTTTCAAGATACTAATAATTTTTGCTTTGTTGAAAAGTTGGGAAAAGAGGATAAAGTTTTGTTCCAGGTTTGATAGTTTTAATCTTCCGTAACTATGTACTATAAAAGTCGCAAACTATCATTCAAATTGCTTGATTTAATTGCTCAGCGATATATTCATCTCACGTTCATATTTTTACGTTTTCTCATTTTTTAGCTGCAGTCCGAACCCTGCCGCCCTCAAGATATCGTCTGGTACAACGGTGTTATTAAATGGCGTGGTAAACTAGATGGTCGTAAGGGGGTGTACTTTGAAGTTGAGGTTTAGTTTGGTCTTGACAAGTTATTTCATTTACCCAGGAATTTTCCTGCATG